GGGACTGACGGGAGTTCGTGCGGGGATATGGGGATGGGCAACTGACGAGCATCCCCCAAGGTACTGCCTGTTATGCCAAGCAGAATCAGTCTTTTTCCAAGAGGCTGGGGCTAATCTGTCAACCTCAACAAACACTCTCCGTCTCCCCTCCCCCGATTCCCCACCCCTCCTAACTGTAGGTGCCTTCCTCTTTAGGGATGGAGGTTTTTAAAGCCTATGTTAAATGTTAGGCCACTTTTTCCTCTATTCGCAATATGTGAGGAAAAACTACAAACAACAATCACTCAGACTGTGTTTTTCTGTGAATGGATTCCCCCATCTAAACCGTGCCTAATTTGCATTAGATGATGCCAGTTAGGAAATTCCTGTTACACGCTAGTTATTAGACCCCAGACGCACTGACACCAGTAATGTGTTTCCCTTGTTGACAACTACCCTGTTTTACTGCAGCAATCCCACAAACCACTTGGAGCATTGCACTATACTCCCATTACTTGGAATTTATGTCCAAACCTGATAAAAGAGGGGGAAATCCAACGCATGCATAGAGATGTGGTGTGTAAAATCAGGTTGCAAAAGGTGAGCAGAATAGTGCACTCATTGTGCTCAAATGCAAGTAACATACAGGTGTAAGAAAAGACAGGTATGTGTTTATGTTTCACGTGGTTAGCTTTGAGTTTAATAGTATAGTAAAAGTAGAATACATTACAAATGGTCCCTGTTGACATCAAGGCACACTATGCTTTATGTGGTGGACTTGTAACTTTAGAGATCATAATGAGACCGTCCTTTTTGTGCAGTGTGTATCTTCCAACACAAGAGAAAACAAAAAAAAAAGATTATTTAAGCCTGTTAAAGCCGTCTGTCTTTAGGGTAACAATACCTCATGGTGTTAGTTTCTTGGGGTTAAGCTTCCTCTCGACTGTACACAAAAACACTGCCCATGCTTACTTGCAATGTTGGTATTTATCATATCCGGTCGTGCCGCATTTAAATCTGAGGATAAAATGTTTGTCATAAGACTCCTCAGAGGCCAGTGTATGAACTGTTTCCTTATTGTCAACATTGTTTTCTTTTTACAATACCAAACGACTTATTGAATGTTAAAAAATAACAGGTTTGCTATGATAATCTACATATTTAAAGATCTTGACGACTCCTGGTTTGAATTCATTTAGATGGCAAAATGAGGTTAGTTCTCTTGAACGATGTAAAAGATTTTGCTGAAATTAATTGAGTATCTTGCGATGTGAATATTATAGAGCTACCGACTTTTCTGTGAACACAACAAACAAGAAAACTGACTGTGAAATGCACACTGTCACACAATCCGCCAGGGTCTCCACAAAAACAAGACATTTTAAGTAAATGAGAGCACCACACTGCCATCAATTACACACAGCATAATTAGCATTATATTTAGTCATTCCTCCGATTTTGATTCTGATGCCAATACCCAAATAGCCTGTGGGGTGAATGAGCACACAGAACATTGTCTGTTGCATTTCCTTGTCAAACAGCATCTCCATTTATTCCCCCCCCCATTCATTGTCTCTCATTTCATGTCAGTGGTAATATGTTATGGTTGTTCAAATCTTTCAAGGCTTTGCTCGCTGAGTTGTGGGATAACAAGCCTGTTACTTAATAATCAATCAAACAGGCATTTTTTTTTTTTCAAGCAGTTATTTAGATTTTTTCTCGCTGCTATTTCCAGTTTCCCAGGGTGACAGTTCCTTTTTTCGTCTTTAGGGTTCCAGATTATCTTGGAATGTAAACAAACAACACAAAGTCACAACAAGAACACACAACAGTGTGTGCGTGTTTCCACTGTTTCTAGTTTTTTTCAGTTTTTTGTGTCCAGTTTGTGCCATTTATTTCTAATCTTTTACAGCACTCTTGCAACCGTTGTTGGAAGCAAAAGAACACAATAATGACAAAAGAGCTAAGTAAAGAAAATTCCTCTTTTACTGAAGGATCTCATGAGGCTTGTTCCTAAAATATACGGTATGATCCAAAGATCCAGATGCCAAATAGCTCTGCATAAACACACTCGGCCTCAGACGAGCGGAGAACACAGAGACTCTTCCCTCGCTTAACACATCTGGATGAATAGAGCGGCGTGTGCCCTTTCAGGAACACGTGGGACAACTCTCCCTCTCACTGCTATGCCACTGGGAGAGGAAGGCTCTCAAACCACATTCCTGTTATTGTTATTCTAATTAGCTTCCAGGAAAAAAAAAAAAAAGATGTGTGCATGCACACATACACACTTGCACACTGCAAAAGCTTATTTGCAGTGCGAGCGGGAGGTGAAGCAAAGCGGCGAGGTGGCGGGGGGTAGAGTCAGAGCAGCCGTGTGTGAGATAGAGGCCCTGATGTCTCCCAAGGATTCAGCCAAGACATGGGGTGAAATGGCAAAATAATCAAGAGGGCCGGCGGGAGGGAGCCCAGGGGAAGCTCAGCCTTCACACACAGTCGTCATGAGAATATCTTTAAGAGCACCTCTACATTCCCCTCATCCCAACACCGCTGCCTTCATGTGACAGCTGTGCACATAAATACAGACAGGGCCATAAACAAGAACAATTACTCTGGCAACTGCAATTCAACATTCATGAACTGAGGAGGAAACGAAACTGATTTCACACCCGACACAGCGTAGAGTATTCAAACGCAATGCCCATGTTTACTACAGCAGCATTATGTTCAGTGGTACAAAACAATGCTGAACCACTCAATGCCACAACTTTGCAGTGTAACAGGTTAGATACTGTGCTCGCTAACCCATACAGAAGTTTGAGTGGAAATATCAAGACAAAGCAGTATGAAAAGCACAATAGCAATGGACAGAACACATAATCAATATGCACCCTGCAGCTTGTATCTGATAAATAACAACTAGCACAAGCTTGATTTCTTACGACACAGATATAGATCATGCCAACAAGCAGGCAGCGTCACAAGTACTGAGAGAAAATAAGCACTACGATGTGAAATTCATGGGAACCCAGGCCATGCTCTGAATATATTCCTTAATCCCTGGTGATTATTTCAAAGTTATCCAGAAACCTATTTTCTTTTCAATTTGCAGCTTTTACTTCTCTAATTTCGTCATAGTTGCATCACAGACTACACTTTTTTTTCCTTTTCTTTCACTGCTCTAAACGCTAGTTATTGATAACCCATTCGGTTCACTTTCCTCCAATATATTCACGTTTTAAGTCTGTTTATGCCTCATTTAGGCGAGTAAAAATAGAGTTTAGCTAGATTCAAAAGCAGAATTTATTATATTGTAATTTGTAAGTTTCACAGTTGCCTTGAACAAGTTTTCGAGGCATCGGGAGAGCCTGTGTCTTTCATCGCATGACTACAAGCTTGGCAGACAATTTACAATAGTCGGGATAAATGCTGCAGGGTCAGAGAGAGAGGCAGCCGAAAAAACCTCAGCGTGCTATTTCTCGATATGGAGCCCTGGCCCCTGATGCCGCTGAGCCCTGGAGTGATGCCAAGACAGTGATTTGAAAAATTCCTCTGGTTTTTTGTGGCCCTGCAAGTGCCCCTTTACAGGAAATGTGACATGAGCGAGGACAAAGATCAGAGAGAGGCAGTCGTGGCTTCTGTGATGGAGCTCTGCAGCTGGCACCTGACACAAACCTCTTCCCTCGCCACACATGACATCCTGAAGCTCACGCTGCTTTTGGGGAAGAGATGAGCTTCAGCAAATAAAAACTAGCTGCATCTGTGATGCTTTAAACCACCAACCTGGAGACACAGATACTGGTTATCTCCTCAGCCTGTTTTATGCCAGACTGCCATGTTCACCAACAACCTCCCCCCACTAACGGCTTAATCTGGCCTCCCCCACTACCAATGGTTGCAGCTACCTCATTAATGCCCAATCGTCCAGCTCGGGGACTATTGTCAGAGGGGGAGGGAGCTCGTGCTCGAATTCCGCAAAGCAATTTGAATATGTAATGTGCCAAACGTGATATAATCACCAAATCCTATTCAGTGATTAAAGAACACTTAAATTGCACTCACTTAACATTTCTTCACAGAAAGACTCTCATAAGCAGGTTAATCTGCTGCTCGTTTTACAGACGTTTCATTACATGTTTACATTATTTATGTTTCGGACACATTTTGCTTCCTGCCAGGCGAAAAATTCCACCGCTCATGTATCATTCCCGTATTTCAAATCTTTCATGTCTGCATGGAGACACGGGGGCTCCCTGGGGTTCGCCAACCCCCCCTATACCTCCTCCCCCTCCTTGAACAAAGCCTCCCCAGTTGCAAGCCTGACCCAGTAACCTGGCTAGCAGCCTGGGGGTATAGCGTACCCTGTCTCCGGGCTTCCAGGGTCCGTGTGAGCACACAGGGCCGGCATTTCTGTACAGCGCAAAGTCACTTTCGTCAATGCAATCGGCTCTTGCAGGGATTAGAACAGCTCCTTTTAGACGTGGCCGATTTTGTGGTAAATGTGTAGCAGCCTAGCAGGCAGATCCAGGGAGGGTGTAACAGTGGCCCGGATAATCTGGCCGGACACATGCATCTTTCTTCTTTACAGACCATTTACAGGAATGCCCTCTTGTTTTTAGTGCCAAGTATTTTTGTAGATGACGTACTTTGTCTCTGTATGTACTCATGCACTCCAGGCTATTTAACACAACAACGTATAACTGAGCAAAGTAGCGACACCTTTCCATCAGACTTTGGGCTTCTGGTGCATTCAAAGCAGCCCTATACCCGCCGCGTTGATCGCTGGATGTCTCTGTTTCTTTTAAGAAAGAAAACAGTCCAAGGCAACAAAATAACCACCAACAGAAATGACAGTCGGTGGATTTTCAACCTCTTCGTGGATGCATGCAAGCGCTTATCGAATGCTTAAGAAACAAATAAAATGTGCAGAAGAACTGTCACAAGTGAGCTCCACAGCAGATTGCAGTTAATTAGAGCATTCAAATTCTCAGGTATTAAGGAGAGAATGCTAAACATCTTACCCCCTGGCTTCCCTTGAAGCAAATCGCTGGCTGATTCGATAGTGATGCCTGAGGAGAGAGAGAGAGAGAGAAAAAGAAGAAACTGGTCACTGATTCAGGAATCATGTTTAATCGAATGGACAGCTCATACATTATGAGTGAAAATATGTCGCCAGTGTTCCAGCTCTGCTCAGTGGGTTTCTGTAGATAACAGCAGTCGGGTTTGATTAGACAAGGATTGGTAAACTTTCCTCGTTAAATGCCAAAACGTTGCCATAATTGCCATTGCCCATCCGTCTTTGCCCTGATGAATTGCTGCCCTATTTCTATATCATTAAATCTACAGTTCAGAGGTTTCTGGCCCTAATATTCTGAGGAATGTGTGTGTGATCTATCAATCCATCACCTACAGACAACTTTGCTTGTGTCAGTCAAAGTGACTTGTGTGTTTCAGCTGATTTTCCCTCTAAATGAATAAAAGCTACAACAGATCCCAGAGGAAAGACAAAGCTACTTCTGAAACAAGTTGTATGTTTTTTTAATGCACTTTTTATAAGCCCTGTGTGCTGTGGTTTATAACTGCAGTGCCTTCCAAGACCACCGTGTTATGCTCCACAACATCATATTGTTCTTTTACCCCCAACTGATAAATAAATATTAAAATCATAAAATATACCTGCCTTTGAGGCAACATGATACATAGTTAATAGATGGAGACATTTATCTGTGAAGTACAGCTGTGCCTGGGATTGACAGCGCTCTTGATTTATTATTAATGGTTTGGGGAAATGTCTTCCCTATTGAAGAGAATTGTTCAGACTTTCTTCATCATCCGATTGCTTTAATATTGAATGGAATAATAAATAATAGCAACACAGCCATAGGGAAAATATGAATAAAGAAGCTTATTTTTATATGATAATTTGAAATATTACAACAATTTATTCATATTTTGGAGTATTCACTGCAGCTGAAACAATATGCCAGTTAATTGGTACCACTGTCTAATAAGTTACCTTTTACAAAGGCCGTGTAATAGCTTTATAGATGTCAGTTATAGGTTATGTATTAGTAATTAGTATTAATAAGAATTTCAATGTTGAGGTTGCCACGTTGTGACAAATACCCTTTGCCACAGTAAATTTGTCAAAATCTTTTTTATAACTGCAGACAAGATGACGTATTAAAGAGTGAGAAAGCCATGAGTACTATTACAGGATTACCAGCATTTATAAATGCCTTATTACAAAACAGAAACAATAAACACTAGCCAAAGGGATATTTTACAACCTGGCCAGTCAAAAGTTGTAAGTGATAGATGCCATCACTCACAATAATAAACCTTAATATAAGGAGTGTCTTTTTAGATAGTGGTACAATTTACGGAATCACAGGATCAATAGAAAATGAATAAGCAACTGTTTTGATATATTTGGACTGTTCGTTAGACGAAACAAGACGTTAAAAGGAAATAATGTAAGCTTTGTGAAATGTGTGAAATGATTAGTCGATCAGGAGAAAGTTACTCTGCAACTATTGTGATAATCGATTGATTGTTAAAGTCATTTTTTTAGCAAAAGCAGCAAAGTTCCACTGGTTCTGACTTGTCAATAAGTAGTATTTGCTAGTTTTCTAAGTCTTACATAAAAGTCAATTGAATATATTTCACATTTGTGTAATTAAGATTATGGCATTTTTCTGTATTTTTTGTAATTTCATAGAGCGAAGAATTACTCAATTACTTGAGGAAATAATGGACAGATACATTGTTGCAGCTCTAATTTGATACAAAGTATAAGAACAGTTTATGAACAAATCCCATCTAATAACATAAACTCTTTCAGCTTCAGAGGCTCCTGAGGACAACATCTCAGTGGGAGTCCAGCGGTCTGTAACAATATTTTCTATGGGGTGGTCTTTCACTTGGAGACGTTTTGCAGTAGCCTCTCCTGCCTGCCTGCTCCGGCCTGGAAGAAGCTGTCAGGCTGTGTGAGCTCTGGAGTTTACTCTGCTTCACAGACCAATGAGCTGCGGAGCTGGGCGGGCTTCCAGGCGTGTAAAGGGCAAAAAACAATAATACACAAGAGCACAGCGACAACTTGTCGAGCCCTGCCACCGAGCCCGATGCAGACTATACAGCTCAGTCTTATATCCACGCTTTTTTTTTCTCCCACTGTGGCAACACTTACAGTTTTTGTTTAAAAAAACCAAACTAAACAACTAAAAACAAATGAACCTCTAACTGCAGTAATAACTGTGGGACTTAACTGACTTATCAATCACTGCTCTAGGAAAGACCATTTGGAGAGACTAAATTATCTTGATCTAATGGACCATAACAGCAATAAAACAGTCTCCGGATTCAGAGCAGTCGAATAATTCGCTTGGTAGCTTGTTCATTAATTTATTCACGTGAGCAAAACGAGCTAAAAAAAACTGCCTTTTTTTAAACCTAAAATGACTGAAAATCATCTGTAGTCGCCTGTACTCTAAATAATGAATTTTAAATTCAATGTATGTTTAGAAAAGCAGAGAAAACAGCAAGCTTTCAAAGCTCAGGGCACAATCGCAAATCATATGGGAACTTTAATACCGGTTGTTTTTTTCGGGAGATTAGGCTTTGGTAAACAAGTAGACATGCACAATTGAAAAATAGCCCGAGCCTCTTCTTTTCCGCACAAAACAATTTTTACTCAGGGCTTACAGGGGAATTTAATGAAATCCTTTCATTCATCAAAGCCTATTGAATTGCCTGTTATGATCATAATTAATAAAGCTTAGTCCTCTACTGTATAACAGCCAACATCATGTATCAGCCACCAACACGTCTGTCGATGTGATCTGAGCTGCTGAACTATTGAAACTATACTTTTTATTCTACCAAAAGGGAAGAACAAACTGCGTTTCCAAATTGGGATTTTTTTTTTACAGTTCACGGAGTTGGGAGGCGATTCAAGAAAATGAACATATAGCTGAAACAACACACACAAGCTCCAAAGTTCAACACGGTGATTTGTCCTACCTTCAGGTTCTGGTAGCCTTCGAGGGTCCGGATGGCAGTGTCAGTGAGTTTGACGTGATAAAGAGTTTGATTCGGGGTGTTTTTGTGGATTTGGCCACAGGAGAGCCCATACCGATGCTCCTGTCTCAGCGCTGCCATTTCTACAACTGAAGACTATTGGCGACATACTGCCTGCTACGTCACGGAGGAGAGAGGCTGTGGGCGGGGCCGACACACACACGCACACACACACACGTACACATAGAGTCAGTACGACGTAAACAAAACTATTTTACTTTCGCTTCACAACACACACTCGTTGACCATTTGTGCCCTCAGAGTTTTGGTCCAAGTTGCAATCCAACCGGATTTTTAGTAAATACACTCGATGTGTTCCTGCAGCACACACAGGAGGTAGTATTAATACACCTGCATGAACATGTACGAGTGAGAAATCGATGCCACGTTGGAAACATTAGTATTTGTTTGTTTGTGCAAATAAGCATCGTATAGTAATTGTAATCAAATCAAAACCATTTAAAACTTTATGTATTACTGAACTATGTCAGTGGTGGAAGAAGTGGATCATTTGAAGTACCAATAAATAAACACAACAAAATAAAAGTACTGCATTACATGTAAAGAAATACTGAAGTTAAAGAGGTATTTACAAGAAAACCTTATGTAGCAAAAGTGCTTATTACATTATCTAAATTTATTTTGCAATTATTTTCATCACTGATTTATCTCCCAATTATTTTCTCGATTGATGAGATCACAAAGGATTATTTGATTCTTGTCTTTAATTAAGATGTTAAAAATAATGCCCCTCGCAACTTCCCAGAGTCAAAAGAGACATAATAATATGTCCTGCTTTCGCTGACCAGCAGTCCACAACCTAAATATATTCAGTTTACACACAAAAAAGAAGTAAATCTTCACATTTCAGAAATTGAGAAGGTTTGGCATTTTTGCTTAAAATATTACAAAAGTAAGCAGAAGTCAAACAGTTTAATGAAAGTACCCAAGTATGGTAAAAGTATCTCAACATTGTATTAAAGCACAGTACTTGTGTAAGAACTTCACTTGCGGTTTGTGTATTATTTCTCTGTGTCAGAGAAATTTAAAAAACAATATGGAATTTGAATTAATTTAATCCCTGATGGACAACATGCTTTGGCTGTGGGTTCAGTAAGTCAGTAAAACAGTATTTATTGACAACATGGCTGGGGCATGTTTTCTGTCTAAATTAGTCTACTGCTCCTGCAGTGACATGACAAATACTTGATATAATGTGTGGTATTTTGTTGTTTTTGTCATTTCCTTCAGTAAAATGTGCAGTGAGGAATAACTTTGCAGTGGTGCTCCAATGTAACAACTGGGTAACATTATCTGTTATTCATTTGCTGAAAATGACGCATTCATAATGTCTACTAATGCCTTAATAACAGTCTAGTGACATTTAAATCAATGTCTCAATCCTGTTATCCCCCTGTGAACAAGTGGATGTTTAACAATAGATGTTTGTGCATCTGAGTCGTTTCAAGAAGAAGAATTGTGAATACACCCAAATTAACTTTACACAACATAAGGTGTTTATCCTTACGCAGTTTTACACCTTTAAAAAACGTGTATTTAATCTGTAATCTAGTGTCAGATTTACAGCCTGCAGTTTATTAGTGTGGTGGCACTTCCTGAAAAGAGAAAATAAAAACTCCCAACATAACTCAAAGCAAATTATGTTATAGTTTATATCTCCTGAGATCTTATTGGTAGACTGCATTCATGGAAACTGCGTTGTGGGGCATGACGGTGAAGTCATTAAGAAGCTTACAGACGTTCTGGCAGATTAGGTTTTTCTCTTCTAATCCTGCAGATTACCAATGCACAAGCCTGCCGGCTGGGAGTGCTTTGTTGCGTTGCACAGTTTCTTTATATTGATCATTTTTGGTTGCTGCCACATCACTGGACTATGTAGACTAAGACGGACACAAGCAGGAGTGAGAGTAGGTCAAGGACTGCAGAAACTACGAAGCTGCAGGCGAGACAAAGCTTTTTTATTAAAACTGTAGATGAAGGCAGGATTTAGGGATGCTTTCTGAGTTGGATTTAATGAAACACAACATGGATTTTTACCTCCTGGAGATATTCTATTTGTTTTGACAGAGTGAAGGTGGCAGAAGTTGGCTTACAACAGAACTACTAACCTCCGCCTAAGTGGAACGTTGGCTCGAACAAGGAGGATCATCTCTTTTGGAGGCTAATGCAGGTGGCATCCATCGCTCTCTGCAGTGAAATGGAGACAGAGCCATGTTGTGGAGAGCATGAAGACCCTGCAGTGGAGTGTACAGTGCCTGAGGTAAGAGAGGCTGTATCCGAGCATGCTGATGGGGACAGTCACACCGAGCTGCCCTGTGGGCCTGCAGAGGAAGGCAAGGAGCTGAGAGGGAAAGAGCAGGCTGAAACAGAGAGCTGTGCAGATGAGAGTAAAAGCGTCGAGGTAAAAAACCCCTCTGATCCTGAGCAAAGGGGAGACACAGGATGCAAGGAGCGGAGGAAACTGAAAAAAACAAACAGCTGGAAGATGGTGAGATTTCAAGACCCATCAACAGAGGATGATGTGTCGGAGAGAGACAGCTCAGCAGAGAGTCTCTTTCCAGAATATATGATGGCCGAGTGGACTTCCTCCACCTTTGAGGAGCTGTTTGTGGCAGACGATTGGCAAGAAATCACAGGTGAGGATGCATCATTGAATCACTTTAGACTTGGTTTTAGTAATGTTGCATAGTATAGTGCTTCTTATTTAGTTAAATCGTACCTTTATATTTGATTTTGGGTTAAAACCACAAAAGAAGTAAAGTGACGAAAATGTGATTGAACTCAAGCTTGGCGTGTTGGTGGCTGTTTCTGAGCACGTGTTACCACCAACATGCAGATTAACCCTGCTTCCTCCTGCATGACCTTCTATTCTTTCCTCACGCAGAGGACCAGCTGTTGAGAAAGAAGGTGGTGGAGTTCGGGGCCCCGCACACCCTCAGCCCCACCTGGGGCCAAGCGGTTACTGTGAAGATGCAATGTGTCCTGGAGGACCGCACTGTGGTGGAGAAGGATGGCAAGCTTGTCTTTGTTATTGGAGAGGGAGATGTAAACCAGGTAAACTCCTCAGTTTTCATATACATGCAACAGGACAAGATTTTGGTATCTAAAGCGTTGTGGTTTCCGTTTGTAGACAAAGTAGTATGAACTAATCAGGTCGAGCAGGCTTTGGTTGAATGCAGGTTAACAGTGCGTGTGGAAAGCAAAAGAGGCAGAATGCAATCTTGGAACTCATTGGCTATCGTCTAATGGTTATTTTGATTTTTATTGGTCTATAATTAGCTTGTAAACTGGCTACATGTGAAACAATCCAGTCGTACAGGTGGTCTCTCAACTCCAACTCTTGTCGCTCATCTCAAGTTGCTAATCGGAATGTAAACAACGTGCAGTGCACGGCAAAGGAAGTCTTGGCCCGGGTATCGGCTGGCTGCCACAGAACCCCAGAAATATAGCCCCTTGCCCCAATAGGCTTATCGTCCTCAAACCGATAGCCGATGGGTTTCTGCAGACATGCTGGCAGCTCTGTGACGTTGTACTTTGGTACAACTATAGACTGTATATAAGAAGTGGACGTAAAATATGTCCCCCATTGGTTTGTGGACTGTTGTTCTGAAGCATATCCTGTTTTATCATCTGTTTCATTCTTTATAGGACCATAATTTACTAAATGGACATCATGTTGTATTGGAGAAGATTTGAAACTAGCGATAAAGACAATCAAGTTGGAAGTAGGGTCATTTTCTCATAGACTTCTATACAATCTGACTTCTTTTTTGCAACCAGGGGAGTCGCCCCCTGACGGTGCCTTAAGCCAAATGCTAACGTCAGCATGCTAGCATTGCCAATACTAGCATGTTGACGTTAGCAGGTGCATTGTTTAACTTGTTCGCCATCTTAACAACAGAAAGTGCAGCTGAGGCTGTTAGGAATGTCGTTAGTTTTGTCAAGCTCATGGTGGAGCTAGCTGAGGAGTCAGAATCATTATGATTAATCCTCTGGGAACTAGAAATATATGCACCAAATTTTATGACGGTCCAATAGTTGTTGAGGCATTTCAGACTTAAACAACTGACCTACACGGTGATCCTAAGAGCTAGCAGGGCTAAAGAGCTGGTCAACATGCTTGAAAAATCAGATGTTTAGTCAATAAAGGACATTGAAATGCACAAAACAACATTATGCTTAAATGTATTTAGTGTAATTAAGTAAAAAGCTCTGTCAGTCCTCTAAGTAACATGTTGTGTTTTGACACCTGTAGGCCCTGGAGGAGTGTGTCATGTCCATGCAAAAGGGTGAGATCACATTACTCCTGGCAGATTCACTGTATGCCTATGGACTTCTGGGAAGGTAAGGATTTTCCAGTTATTGTTGTTTAACGGTGAACTATTGAATTAAGGAGCATGTTGAAGCAGAAACAAGACTTGGTCAGATATATTTTGTATTCAAGTTGGCTTCTTGTACCTGTTGCTGTGGGAGCAGGCTGGTTATCCAGGGGTAGCGGAGTTAATGAACCATAAACAGGAGCAGATGGCTTCCTCCAAACACCATTCACAGGCAGCCTATCAATGGCGTGCTTGTAACCTCACAACCTATGGGAGGACACCACTTATATTACGGCCAATGGCTCAGGTTTATGACCTTTACACCATTAAAGAGCCAGTATAAACACAGTGGAGATTGGTCTGTCACTGAAGAAAACCCATTGTTTATAGTTTCATGTTTACTTTAGATAACCTGAACACGTGAGAAGAAGACATTAATGTACAACATTGATTTGATGAGATTGTGTCACATATCCATAAAAATATTAGTTTTTTGAGGTGTGATTGGAGGAAAAACGAAAAAGCAAATGCGTTAAATCTGATTTAATTGGTTCACTGGTTTATTATGTTACTTTCTGTAGTTATCGCTGTTAAAATACTTTTTAAGCAGAAAGTAATATTCTGTATGTTGAGCTCTTTCATAAACAGCAGAATTGTGGCCATTAATTTAAGTGATTATATCAACTCCATGCCAGTGTTTATGTAAGCCCACACCCATCAGAGGAAATTAAACATTAATATACAGTTCCAATTTACAACCATGTGTGCTCTGTTAGCACAAAATGTTGCAGATATAGAACGCCAGGGGGAAAAAATAATAATAAAGAATCTGCTTGCAGGTTGGAGGACATTTGCTGAACAGTTATATAAAAATGTCCATTCAGCTGTATGCAGGACATGCTGTACCATTAACAGAGTAGCTGTACAGAGGAGTAATGCATAAAAACAAACATGCACCCAGATTTATCATGGGGCCATAAAAGCCTTAAAAGGGTGCAGGATTCAGAGCTAAATTCATCCATTTTTACAGACTGAAAATAAAACACAGACCATTTGAACATTGTTGACAACATAATGTCTGAACATTGTGTTGTGAAAGTATTGTTTTCCAGTGTGTGTGCTGTACTGTTTCAGTCTCCTCTGTGTGCTGTGTGTGAGGTACTGTCTGTATTCAGGAGCTCTGTGAAGAGGATGATGGGACATGGGGTGTGCGAGGTGAGAGCGAGGAGTCTAGGTGTTGTCTAGACTCTCGCCCTCTGTTGTGTGTTAAAGAAGGAGGCAGAGAAAAAGAAGGAGGCAACAGGAGGTTAGTTAATGATTGTTTTGATGCAGCTGATTAGGGTTGTGTGCTGTCGAGTCAGAAGGTAGACAATCAGAGCTTCATGCTAACTCCTTAAACATGCTTTGCTTATAGAGGTTACTGGTTGCTCAGAATGTAATTTTCTCCGGTCACTGAAGCTAAATGCATTTGTTAATACTTTGGTATGGCGAGTGGGAATATCAAGAACACACGTAATAATATAGCATGTTACAAACTCAACTAAACTCTAAGATAAAAACAGGTCATCCGATAATGGAGAACTTTTGGGAAATACATTTTCTTTCTTGATGAAAAAATCGATATCACGTTCATGTCTGTATGCTAGCTTAGCTTAGCATAATGAGTGGGAACAGGAGGAAATGCCTACAAGAACATCTACTAATTAACATGTTGTATCTTGTTTGTTTAGTCCGTACAAAAGTATATAAAATGTGTATGTTTTGTTACAATTATATGCAAACCTATTTCTTTGTGAGCAGTTGCCAGATAATCAGCAGAGACTCCAAGAAGTCTCTGGTCACGGCAAAAAAGTTAGTCCGGCACATAACTCCACGTAAAACAGTGTTTACACTCTGATTTTTGTAAAGATTTAACAGAGGTGACTATAGCAGCATTTGTTACCTTTGGACAGAGTTAGTCTTGCTCTTTGTCCCTGTCTAGAGTCCTTTGTGTTAAGCTAAGTTTACAGGCTGCTCGTTGTAGCTTAATTTACCATTCAGACATGAGACGGATATCGGTGTTTTCATCTAACTAATAGACAGAATGAGAACAAGTGTTTTTAATATGTCACAGAGCTTCTAACTTCTCAATCATGGCATGTTGCCAGACCTGCTTGTTGAAGTTAATACAAAACGTATTTAATAAACTATTATTTGAGCAAATAAGCTGACAGAGTATCTCAAGCATAAACAGACATCATGTTTCAGGGTAGATTTGACAGTCACAGCGTGTCTGTGCTGTAAAATTAGAGACAATGAGGGAAAATCTCATTAGCCTCTCTATGTTTTCTGGCAGAGGCATTGATTGAACTCTGTCAGTCGCCTTTTGCAAACAGTGCTGCTAAGAGCACTTCACAGTTATGTATCAGAACAGTGTGCAAAGCGTGTCAGACAGTATGATTAAACACAGCACAGTGGAGTGGTCTGTAGCTTGGTGTGTGGGTGATGGGCTGAGCTGCAACTCCTTAAAATGTGAAAACAAAGACAATAAAACCCCCAGAAAAGTCTGGAGCTTTTACCTGATTGATTACAACGGACAAGCTGGTCGGGACTCAATCGACAGAAATAATCTCTGACGTGTTTCCTGTGACATTAAAGCATTCGAAAGGGGAGAGGTGACAAAAGACATCACACTCGCCTTTTCGAGGAACCGCAGCATACGTCAAAGGTATTCCCTAACTGAGGCATACACAAACTGCAAGGCAAGTCATTATCAGAGAGCAGTGGTGGCTAACATCTGTTGATCTCTGGACAGGCCCAACTTTAAAACTCATAAACCCTCCAGGTAGTCTGCCTCATCAGCTCTGCACCACCCCAAAGTCAACATTTAGTGTCAATGGCAGATGCTTTATTTTCTGAATAATTTGTTTCTAGCCGTATGTAAAACGCCACACAACACATTTAAAGACTTGAGCTGTAGCCTAAGGGTAGTTAGGCTGGCTGTCAACAAACATAAACAGAGGCTTAAATCCCGCTGCTGGCAGCCAAGGTGTTGGTGTACTTTAAATCTTGGCACGAATGAGAACTACTTCAGTGGCACATGTTGAACTGGACTTAATTAGACCACTGGGATGTGTCGTAGTTAAATTAATAGTTTAATCCAAGTCCAGATGTACAGTGTCAGCCAGTTAATCGTTCTACTGTTGCAGTAACATGTCACAATGGGATTGTGTGATATGTATGATTAAACCTGAAGTTTAGCCAAGGCTACATTTAGTCTAAATCAACCACAAATTAAGTAGTGGTAAATCGAAACTAACACAAACGCAGTAAAAGGTAAAGCAGAGTAAAAAAAAAAATGAATCTGTCACAATACAATAAGACATACAAATATAGGAATTGGGCAATTTGCCCCACAGTCTATTGGTGGCATCTTCAGAAAGAACTTTACGGGACCCAGAGTTGAATCCTGGTGTATCCCACATGGAATAAAACAGATAATAAAATACTTGTAGTGACCAGGCCCACAGGATCAGCTCCAAGCTTTCGAAGCAAATTCTACATACTGACTAAACGGTGGAATTACAATTTCCGTGTCCGTCACGTGATGCCAAAAAGACTTTCCCCGATAGACTTACATTCGGAAAGAGACATTCTCGTTGTACATCCATGGTGTGAACCAACAGATTAAGTTCCACATCTGTGTTCGCCTGCGACCCTATCTGCCACCCCGTTTGGAAGTGTTGTGAACGTCGTGTGGATAGATGAAAGCAGATTAGGTTATATATGTTTGATGTATTTTCTATTTTATTTTGCCAGCAAAAGTTATTTACACAGACAAGGGCCATATTTAGTATTACAAATCTTAGTTAGCTACGGCGTTCAGAAATGTAAGTTGCAATATCTTGTGAGTGTGTCACTGAGACAGAGAAAGGTGGGTTGTGATAAATGGTCCAATATTTACTTTAGTGACTATGGGGTATAAGAATTGTTCGTAATCTGTGCTAATTTTTATTTCACCCTTTGGAGTTAATAGCCTCAGGATCTGGCAGTCCTAAAGGGGCATGGTAGTGGCGAAACCAACGCGACATAGATACAGGAAACTGACTCTTGGGACACTGTCTCCTTTCTGAATTGTCTGAGTGAACCACAACATGCAAGTATAGATAATCACATACTAAACAAACAGAATTTATTAGAAAGGTAGAGACACTTTGGAGACACACCAGATGGCTATCATTGTCAGTTTCTGAACAAACAAGCCCTGCTAGGGGAGGAGATCTCCCTCTCTTTGACCCCAGGCAAGGTGAGCCTTGATTACACCAGGCTTACTGATCTGGCAGAACAGTGGCAGGTTGGAGCAAGTTAAGTGAAGCTGTAGTTCATGGGAAAGTATACTAATTAAATTGATGATTGATGGTTATTGCATAATATTCATTATCTGTTCGTAGGCAGTACAGTTTAAATAGTGTGTGATGTTTAAAATAGTGTTGGTGTAAATACATCGAGGTGTGTGCTTGGTTTTTTCATTTGGTTTATTGACAATAAGAATAGATTGATAAAATCCTGTACGTTTTTCCATTTATCCAGACGGAGACAGGTTGTCTGACATTAATAGTAAAAAGTAGCATCCAAAAAACTAGAACATTGAATCATAAGTAAAACATTTTAACTATTTCTTCAGGAATCAGGCAATTTGAAAAGTATCATAGACACCCAAACAAGATGTCAGCATGCTAACGATGACAGATGTTCAGCATGCATGATGTTCACCATGTTCACCATCTTAGTCTAACATTTGCTACTTACCACTAAACACAAAGAAAGGCGATGCTGATGGGAATGCCCATCCAGGTGTTTTGATGACACGAGAGGAAACATTAGAGGATCACCAAAAGTTATTATGATTCATGCTGAGGGGACCATGAATGTGTGCACCAAATGTCACGGTGATGAATCCGATACTTAAAAAACACAAATCTAATTTTTAGTGATAGAGGAAAAGCCAAGGGATCAATACAATACTCAATAGGATTAATCCTCTGG